TTTTTTCTGCGATAGAGTCTTGCTCTGCCACCCAAGCTGGAGTGCAGTGGCGCGATCTCGGCTTACTGCAACCTCCACCTTCCAGGTTCAAGTGATTCTCCTACCTGAGACTCCCAAATAGCTGGGATTACAGGTGCCCACCACCATGCCTGGCTAATTTTTGTATTTTTAATAGAGACGGGTTTTGCCATTTTCGCCAGGCTGATCTCCAACTCCTGACCTCAGGTGATCCAGCCACCTTGGCTTCCCAAAGTGCTGGCATTACAGGCATAAGCCACCATGCTTGGCCTATGGTTTTAGCTTTTTGAAAATTGTGCTTTGCAATCATATTGCCAACATAAGCTCCCAAAGCTCCCATATCATGATAAAACTCTGTTTCCAGCCTCATATGTCCTAAAGTTATAAAATAGAAGAGGGTTGGGGCCAGGCATGTTGGGCTCATGCCTGCAATCCTAGTACTTTGGGAGGCCTAGGTGGGCAGATCACCTGAGGTCAGGAGTTCAAGACTAGCCTGAACAATATAGTGAAACCCCATCTCTACTAAAAATACAAAAATTAGCCAGGTGTAGTGGCACACGCCTATAGTCCCAGCTACTCAGGAGGCTCAGACAGGAGAATTGCTTGAACCCAGGAGGCGAAGGTTGCAGTGAGCCAAGATCGTGCCACTGCACTCCAGCCTGGGCAACAGAACAAGACTCTGTCTCAAAAAAGAAAAAAGAAGAGGGTAATATATATGCACATGTATATATATAAAATCAAGGAATATATATATATTTCTTAAATATATGAGAAGTAACTTGTACTAATTAATATATTGTATTATATATAATCAATATAATTTGTGTATATATAGTATATATAATATATAAATTGATTAGATATTAATTTTAAGAAATACAAATTTTAAGATGCTGGCATTTGTTCAATGGACTCTTCCTCGTTCTGTTTACAAAAGCTCTACTGAGTATTTCGTCTGAGTTCCTTTTCTGTGTAGCCATTGACTATCTGTGTTGAAGAGACTGATTCATGAATGAGAAGGAAAAGGAATTTTAGACACTCCCAAGGATCTATTTGTGTGACTAAGAACACAGCTCTCTGAGGCCTGAAAGGTAAACAAAATCAACTCATGATTTTAAATAAAAGGCTTTCCTGGGATTCATGAAAATAGTAAATGAAAACTGGGTCTAATGAAATGGTAGCACGGCATATTTGAGATGATAATATTTAGGAACCCTTTCCTATAATTATGAGCTCCAGAACTCGGAGTCAATTAGAAACAGATTTGCCTCCCTATGCAACTTTATTTCTGGGAAGGGTGACACCCAACAGAAGCTTAGGAGAGAAGACAGATTAGTAGACGAAGAGAAGCGTGACCGGGCAGGTTTATTTTCAGAGTCAGGCATTGTTGCATAAGGCAGAGGGCTCTCTCTGAGTTTGATGCTGTAACAAACAGTCCATGCCATCAACAGACATTCAGTCTTGCAGTGAAGAGAAGTCAAAGGCAGAAAATGAGCAAGTGGAATAATAAAAATGCCACGAGAGAAATATAAGTGTTCCTGAGGTCAGAGGAAGAGGTCAGATTCCTGTAGGGATCAGGAATAGCCTCAGAGAGGAGGTAGAATTCGAGAAGGGTCTGAAACAACAGCCAGGATTTTAGCAGACAGATGCAGGGCGCTGCACTTCAGCCCCAGTCTACCACATTAGAGAAGAAACAGATGGGAAATAGAATGATGATGTTTAAAGAGAGAGTTGTGAACACCAAGTAGGAGCAATACACTAGGGCCATATTGTAGGAGTCTCTCAAGGGCTAGGATGAGGGGTATGTTCTTATTTCAGTAGAAAAGTGAATGTTCAATGAAGGAAAAAATGATCCCGAAGCCTTTTAAAATTTTAGTCTGGCAGTAGATTTTGAAATGGAAAGGAACTAATACTAACTTTACAGTGTGTCACGTATGTTATGTATGCACCTTTACAGACAAAGACACAGATTCTGAGAGATTCAGAAATTAAAGCCACAGTGGAAGGACATTGCAGATTCAAACTCCAAAACCTGTCATCTTTCTGCCAGACCTTGCAGGCTGGAAGGAGGACTGGAGGTGAAAAGACCACTTCAGAAGCTGTTGCAGCAATCTAAGCAATACCTAACAGAGGCCGGAACTAGGATGACAGCTTTGGAGATGGAAGTAAGGTCAATTTTTGGAAGGTGGCAAATGAAATTGTATGCCTGGGAAGAGTCTAAATAATTCCTAGCGTTTAAACCTACACTCAGGAGATGATGAGACTGTTGAAGAGAAAAAGTTAGTCTGAAGAAGGACCTGATTTGGGGACGGAGAAGTACAGTTTTGATCAGGTTGATTTTGTGATAGCCGAACGTCGGGGGACAGTCTGAATACAAGATGTAGTAGGGGTTGGGCATGGTGGCTCATGCATTTAATCCCAGCACTTTGGGAGGCTGAGGTGGGCGGATCCCTTGCGGCCAGGAGTTCAAGACGAGTCTGGCCAACATGGTGAAACCCTGTCTCTACTAAAAATACAAAAATTAGCCAAGCGTGGTGACGCATGCCTGTAGTCTCAGCTACTTGGGAGGCTGAGGTGCAACAATCTCTTGAGCCCAGGAGGCTGAGGTTGCATTGAGCCATGATTACATCATTGCACTCTAGCCGGGGCGACAGAAAGAGGCTGTCTCAAAAACAACAAACAAACGCCGGGCGCGGTGGCTCACGCCTGTAATCCCAGCACTTTGGGAGGCCGAGGCGGGTGGATCACGAGGTCAAGAGATCGAGACCATCCTGGTCAACATGGTGAAACCCCGTCTCTACTAAAAATACAAAAACATTAGCTGGGCATGGTGGCGCGTGCCTGTAATCCCAGCTACTGAGGAGGTTGAGGCAGGAGAATTGCCTGAACCTGGGAGGCGGAGGTTGCGGTGAGCCGAGATCGCGCCATTGCACTCCAGCCTGGGTAACAAGAGTGAAACTCCATCTCAAAAAAAAAAAAAAAAAAAAAAAAACAACAAAAAGATGTAGGAGGCCATCTGCACTGAAGTGAGAACTGAAGACATTGGTTGAGTAAGTGGTTAAGGTAAAGAAACCTGAAAACACAAAAAAAAAAAAAAAACAACAAAAAGATGTAGGAGGCCATCTGCACTGAAGTGAGAACTGAAGACATTGGTTGAGTAAGTGGTTAAGGTAAAGAAACCTGAAAACACTAACAACGCTAAAATGCCTATATTTAGGAGGTAGGAAGATAGAATATTAGAAAAAGAAACTGAGTCATCCAACAACCAGAATGAAAACAGGAGGGAATCTCAAGGGAGTGACCTACAACATCAGGAGTTGAGCAGGATGAGCCGAGATGGCCTGGTGGCCTGGAGGCAACAATGGAGAGAGCGCTGGGCGTCCTGTGCAGTGGGGCCAGGAGACCTAAGGGCACGCACCAGCCTGAGGTGCCGAGGAAGCCACGGGGGATGGAGAGGATGAAGAAAACGAGGATGGGGCCGGCTTAACAGGGGGATGATTTTGTTTGTTGGTGATCAGGCTGAGGGGGCAGAGCTAAGTGGGAGAAGGAAGACACTAGAGAGAGAGTAGAAAATTAGGTGGAACCAAAATTTAGAATTGTGGGGGATAGGGGTGGAGAAAAAAAAGCAAAAATGGTTTTGTTTTTCTTCCTTTCACACCTACAGAAACCCTGTTTTGGTACTGATTTGCCTTTTCTTAAAGACCAGCATTTACATGATCCTGCCCCCCCCACCCCCACACCCACCCAGCCCACGTGAAACAGAACCAGCTCGCCACAATAAGTGTAATGAGCCTTTTCGGCAGCCTTGTGCTTTAACAACAAAACGCTGCTGTTTGGCAGCGAGGTCCGCATATGTTTAAGGGAGCGGGGTAACAGCCTAGAACCCCTCTCTCTTTGTAACCTGGCTTTATAGTTTTATCATTATTTAAAGCCTCCCTTTCAGCGATTTTTTAACAACCAAAATATATGCTGGCTAATGTCATCTGGAAACTGAAAGTCGATGTTCAGCAACTCTCACTCACCAATCCTACAACTTGGTAAGGATTTTTATTTTGGTCGTACTGAGCTTGCTTACTGTAACCGGGGCGGCCGAGTTGCTATGGTAATTTGTTCCCGAAGCAGAGCACGTTGCTTCCATGCATTGAAACGGCAGATAAATCTACTTTATGTTGACTTGATCGTGACATTAATTCTAGTTGAAACATCCCCCGTCTTCCCATCAGGACTTGTGTATAGAAATTTTAAACTGGGGCCAAGAAGGCATTGACTAAAAGAATTGCAACTTTGGCTTTTTAAACCCGGCCCTTCACAATTCGTACAACTGAAGGCTGTTGGCCCACAGCCTAGAGCTCTGCCCCGGGAGCGGCTTGCAGCTGGGGGAAGGTTCATCACTGAAGCAATTATGTGGTTAATTGCTCCAGTGTGGGCTTGGGCTGAGTTGTGACTCATGCGGCACTCTGTCACTAATAGATGGGGGTGGGGGTAGGGTGGACAGGATGCAAGAACGCAACTGAAAACTCAGCTGCTTTTTCCCATCCCTCTTGCAAAAATCTGTAACTCACTAAGATCTAACCTTGAGCTGCGGGAGGAAGGTAGACCTCAGCTCCAAGACGTGGCGTTCCCGGTCTCCATCGGTAGGGGTCCCCATTAAGTCACACGTCCTAAACTACACTGGAGCCCCCGGACAGTTTAAGGATGATGCACTCCGAATTGGGGTTTATCTGCCTCCGATTCTTGCCTAACCATGACATGTGAGAGACAAAAAGTAGATGCCTGACTTCCAGCATGACTCATTATAAACAAACGGAGGATAGATTGACTGCCTCTTATCAGAGGCCGAGTCTGCGCCCCAGGACAGAGCCTGAGTCAGACGAACTCTCCAGTCTTGTTGGGAATTTTCCCCATGAGAAAGAGGTGAATTTTTGAGCAGGGCTCTGTTGATTTCTTGAATACTATCAGTGACCCCATGTTAGGCCCTGGGCTTCTACATGATGTCACATCCCTTCAAAACCAATAGAACTTCCAGAGTAAGGATAAAAACTGGCTGTGCTCACAAAGAAACTCATCTGAAATTGATAGAAATATTCATTTTAGTGGTGATGGTTTTGCAATGTATAGGTGTTAAAATCATGAAGCGCATACTCAATACGTGCAATTTATTGTATATAAATTATACTTCAACTATTTTTTGGAAGAAACATAGTTAACAGTTGTAGGAGACATGGGCATGGAAGTGAGAACTGAAGACATTGGTTGAATAAGTAGGCGGTTAAGGTAAAGAAACCTGAAAACACTAACAGAACACTAAAAATGCCTACATTTAGGAGATGGGAAGATAAGAGACAGAGTATTAGAAGAAGAAACTGAGTCATCCAGCAATCAGAATGAAAACAGGAGGGAATTTCAAGGGAGAGACTCAAAACATTAGCAGTTGAGCAGGATGAGCTTTGTTGGCCTGGTGGCCTCCGATGCAACAATGAAGAGAGCGCTGGTCATCCCGTGTGGTGTTTAATTATTATTGTGACTTACCATGAAGCCCAGCATTACCTCCTCCCTTCCCATCCATACCGACCTATTGCTTCTGTTTGGGTGCAAACATATACAAAGAGTACCTGGCTGAAGGGACCATGAGGCCACAGCATGTAATGGTGATCTCAAACTCCCAGAGTATGTGTTAGTAGGTGACATTTATTTTTACTCAACTCCTTAGTTCACTAGGCAAAAGAAAGGGAATGAAGGCAGTCAGAATAGATGAAACCCAGGTTTGTGACATATTTGGAGGAGGCAGGGAGATGTTGGGTATTAGATTGGTGCAAAAGTAATTGTGGTTATTATGCCAGGAGCAGTGGCTCACACCTGTAATCCCAGCACTTCAGGAGACCAAGGGAGGTGGATCACCTGAAGTCAGGAGTTTGAGACCAACCTGGCCAACATGGTGAAACCCCATGTCTAATAAAAATACAAACATTAGCCCGGCGTGGTGGTCAATGCCTGTAATCCCAGCTACTAGAGAGGCTGAGGCAGGAGAATCACTTGAACCTAGGAGGAGGGGGTTGCAGTGAGCCAAGATTGTGCCACTGCACTCCAGCCTGGGTAACAGAGTAAGACTCTGTCTGAAAAAAAAAAAAAAAAGAAAATTAAAATAAAAATTTTTTAAAAGTCATTACAATTACTGCCATTATTTTTAATGGCAAAAACCGCAGTTAGATTTGTTTTTTTGAGATAGAGTTTTGCTCTTGTTGCCCAGGCCAGAGTGCAATGGCGTGCTCTCGGCTCACCACAACCTCCGCCTCCCAGGTTCAAGCGATTCCCCTGCCCCAGCCTCCCGAGTAGCTGGGATCACAGGTATCTGCCACTATACCCAGCTAATTTTGTATTTCTAGTAGACAGGGTTTTGCCATATTGGTCTGGCTGGTCTTGAACTCCTGACCTCAGGTGATCCACCCACCTCAGCCTCCCAAAGTGCTGGGATTACAGGTGTGAGTCACCGTGCCCAGCCCGAAATTACTTTTACACCAACCTAGTAGCAAAGGAAAAAGAGGCACCTTCAAGGTACCCCACCCCAGGCAGCCACAGGACAGAAGGCTGTTTATGCCTTCAGGTTTCAGCAAATGCAAGTTGAGTCAAGCCAACAGGATGACGGCATGCAAGAGGTGTGCTGCTGGGCTGTGGCCACAAAACACGCACACGTGAAATGACAACACCTGGAAACCAGCACACTGGGGAGCAGATTAGTTTAGGGGGAAATGAACACGTGCATGCTTAGATGGCCAAAAAGAAAGAACAAACTCTGGCAAGCCAGGTTAATCAAAGAGCAAGCAGCCATGAGGGTGGAGTGGCCTGGTTGTTATTTTAATGTAAATAACTTCAAAGGGGAAAATATGAACACGTGTCTATGGGTGGACTTGCTTATAATCTGAAAAGTACGTGATCTCTCTCTCTCCTTTCAGATAAAGTCCCTTCATAGATGTAAAAGGAGACTTCTCTTTCCTCTTGCTGTAGGTATTCCTTTCTTGAGAGAGAAAGTTTCACTCTTGTTTGCCCAGGCTGGAGTGCAATGGTGTGATCTCGGATCACCACAACCTCCCCTCCCCGGTTCAAGCGATTCGCCTGCCTCAGGCCCCAAGTACCTGAGATTACAGGCATGCGCCACCATGCCCAGCTAATTTTTTGCATTTTTAGAGACAGGGTTTCTCCATGCTGGTCAGACTGGTCTCAAACTCCCAACCTCAGGTGACCCGCCCACCTTGGCCTCCCAAAGTGCTGGGATTGCAGGAATGAACCACCATGCCTGGCCATTGCTCTTGAGAATACCTGCTTTCTGACTGTCATCATTATGGGAAAGGTCTTTCATTTTGACTGCTAACTTGATCTAAAAGGAATTAATTCTTTCTTTTATTTTCCCTTCAGTCACTGGTGAGGCCAGCATTTTCCTGCTGCCATCTGTTGGCAAACAGATTCAGTATACACAGTGATTTGGAGAATTTGCCGTCTTAGCAAGAGGGTCAGCTGGGCGTGGTGGCTCTCGTCTGTAATCCCAGCGCTTTGGGAGGCCGAGGCGAGAGGATTGGTTGAGGTCAAAAGTTTGAGACCAGCCTGATCGACACGGTGAAACCCTGTCTCTACTAAAAATACAAAAATTAGCTGGGAATGGTGGCACATAACCTGTAATCCCAGCTACTCGGGAGGCTGAGGTAGGAGAATTGCATGAAGGTACCTGTGAGGCAGAGTTTTCAGTGAGCCAAGATCACACCACTGCACTCCAGCCTGGGCTACAGAGTAAGACTCCGTCTCAAAAAAAGAAAAAAAATGCAAAAATTAGGCAGGCATAGTGGTGGCCACCTGTAATACCAGCTACTCAGGAGGCTGAGGCACGAGAATCACTTGAACTCGGGAAATGGAGGTCAAAGTGAGCCAAGACCATGCCACTGCCCTCCAGCCTGGGCAACAGAGCAAGACTCAGTCTTAAAACAAACAGAGGGTCATTAATGTAGGCAGGCTTTTTCTAAATCTCTTAACCTGTCAGTCACTGTAGCTAAATCTGTATGTGTATTTGTGTGTGTGTGTGTGTGTATTTTTTGACCCTCTGGATTCTGTTCCTATTTTGAAGGTGTGTTCTTGCCATGGTGGCTGACCTGACATATAATGTCTGTCCATGTCCTTGATTTCCAAAGACAGGCCCAAATTTTAACAATTCTTTTGACATATCTCCATTAATGTACATTCATACTTTGTAGGTCATTTCCTGCTATGTAAATATGATCTATTAGAAGAATGTTTCATTCAACAAGTATTTTCTCTTGACATTTGGTGTCCTAAAAATTATTATTTGAAAAAAAAATGTCAGTTTATTTCACAAACATTCATGAAGTATCTTCTGTGTGCCGGGACAGTAATGCCCAGCCCATAGTTTGGAGTTACAAGTTGTAGTTTTCTCCAGGTCTTAAAGAGTGCAAAAAGCAGAGCCAGCATTTGTATTTGTAATGATGGAATTACAGTAAAGTACTCCTTATATATATATATATTTTTTTTTTGAAATAACGCTCATTGCCTGGAAATGACCAAAGCTTTGTAGCACTGTGATCTGTATTACAGAGTTCTGGGGTGCTGAGAGCATACATTACAGGAGTTGTAAAAGTATACTTCTCCATGGCAGACTGCCAAGCAAGAGCTTATTTCACATTTAATGCCTTGTAGGAAAAAGATAGCACAAGTTGAGCAGATGAGAGCGTTCAGTCATCTTGAAAAGTGAAGAACCCATGTCCTCAGCTGTTCCGTTCTTTAGGCTCTTCGCAGGTTTCGATGAGTGGTGTCAGAGGGCAGTTTTGAAATGGGAGAGAAGATTTATAAAAGGAAAGACATATTCCAGGTAGGTCTTTATAATGTACTTCTTCAAGCTATCCTGGAGAAGCTTTTGTGATGTGGCTTTTAGCTGGGACTCCAAACCTTTGATCTGTCCTTTCAAACTGAGTCTTCCATCTGTAGTCCAGATTCAAGCTTCCTGGATTTCCTCTAGTTAAGCATCTTATTTATTTGA